ACCAGATAAAAAAGGGAATGCTGTGGTGAATTGATTTAAATACTTTACTATGAATTGTCTGTCAGTGAAGTAGGATTTTACGATTGTGTAAAAAGAGTATGGCAGAGTTTTTTAAAGTTTGTACAGCTATCCAATGTGCCACACTTTATCAAAAGCTTGTCTATTGTCCAGAAATACTGCTGAACAGTATTTTTTCCGTTCGAGATCTTATGATAATTGACGAGTTATACGGTGAATTTACTCAGTTGTGGAATGACGTTTTTGAAACCCGAACTGATGCTCAGGGAAAACTGGTGCATCTAGTGCATCGAAGAGGCGACTTATTAGCATTTTTTCAAATAGCTTGGATATAGTGGATAAAAGACTGATTGGCCGATATGACGTAACTTCATGAGCTGGTTTCCCTGGTTTATGAATAAGAGTTATGGTAGCTACTTTCCAGGATGTTAGATAATAAACGTAGAATTGCCTTAAATATGGAAGCTATTAATGCTATCCCTTTCTTTGGCAATTCCTTTATTATCTTCCCGTTAATTAGGTCTTTACCTGGAGCCTTCTTTGAATTTGCGTTAACTGTATTTGTTAATTTTGACATAAAGGGTTTGATTTGTGGCGACAATTGTAAAGGCGCGTTCAGGAAATTCCTAATTTCTTCTTCATCGATGAGCGAAGTGGAGGCAGATGGTTTAAATACATCAGCCAGATGAGAGGCAAAGAGGTTTGCTTTGTCTATTGATCTTCTTGCCCATCCATCTAGTGGTTGGCGAAGCGGCGGTATGTCTTGAGTTGGACGAGTGAAGTTCATTAAAATTTTTTGGAATCCTTCATTTTTAAAGCGTTGTAGAGATCTTCTTAAAACTCTGGTAGCTTTATTTAGTTTATGCTTGTCCTCAGGTAATCTGCTATTGTGCTAGATTCTACGCAGCTTTCGTTTTTCTGCAATTTTTTTCATGATATATACGGGGTAGACGTAGTCATACAAGCATTCCAATCTAGATGTAGAATCTCGAACAGCATCTACTATATTGCGCGTTAAGTATTAGGTGGACCGGAAAGTAATGTCGTTTCTGCGCATGTCGATATTTGATTATTATTTGTCAGGTCATTGTGTACTTCGAAGTCGTGTCAAAGACATTTTAAGGTTATTGTGACCTATTCACTTTTAATAAATAATTAAATATTAGACTTTTTTTTGCAATTTGGGGTGAAATGGCCAGCCAAATACCAGAAGAGCATATCCGGCATGTTTTTTGAGTTTCGCAAGGGTAGTAACGCAAGAGTTGCGACCAAAAACACTTGCGATGTTTATCCAAGTGCATTAGACGTTCGTAAATGCCAAAGATGGTTCTCTAAGTTCAGATCCGGTAATTTTGATCTCTCTAACTACTATCGATCAGGAAGACCAACAACATTAGACAACGATATGCTAAGGCCAGAAGTGGAAGCAAATCCATGTCAGACAATCGCGGAACTCTCAAACACCCTTAACCAACCTTGGTCGACCATCCAAGAACATTTGCAGCAGATTGGAAAAATAAGCAGAGCAGGCGTTTGGGTCCCCCATAATCTGTTCGAAGAAAACAAAGCCAACCGATTTATCACATGCAATGTATTGCTTCAACGGCACCATACAGAATCGTTTTTTGATCGCTTGATCACTGGAGACGAAAAATGGATCCTATATGATAATCCAAAACGCAAAAGGCAGTGGCTCTCTCCAAATGAATCCCCACAAAGTACTGCGAAGCCGGGTTTACATCCCAAGAAGATGCTTGTGTGTGTTTAGTGGAGTATACGCGGAATTGTTCATTTTGAAGTACTGAAACTTGGACAAACTGTTAATGCAGATCTTTATTGTGAACAATTGGATCGAGTGAACCAATCTTTAATCGAAAAGTATTAGGCGATTGTCAACAGAAAAGGCGTTATTCTGCAACACGACAATGCAAGACCGCACTATGTAAGACGAACCATGGAAAGAATTAATGAATTGGGTTGGGAGGTACTGCTTTACCCACCATACTCGCCCGATATTGCACGCTCGGATTTCCACTTATTTCGATCGCTACAACATTTTCTTAGTGGCAAAAAATTTGAAAATTTGGATGATGTCCAAAATGTTATCTCGAGATATTTTACTGAAAAACCAATTGATTTTTATCGGTCCGGCATTGAAAATTTGCACACTATATGGCAAAAGCCATCGTTGTTGATAACGAAGGTGATTACATTATTGATTAAAAATAAAAACTTGTTAAAAATTTATTCGTTCGAATTTAATTTAAGAAAGCGACATTACTTTCCGGTCCGCCTAATAGTTTATTGCATGGTCAACATCGTCATTTGTCATTAATGGTGGTGATGCAACGATATAGGAGTTGAAGGCTTCACAGAAATTATCCCAATTTATATGTTTATTGTATATGGAGATAGAAATGTTATTTTCAATGATGTTTGAATTTATTGTCGCTATGATTGGAGAATGATCAGAAGAAAGGTCAAGTGAGGAGTTCACTTGGATGTATCGAAGAGATAAATTTTCGGTAATAAAGAAGTCTAGTAAGCCTGGGAGTTTATTGACATCAGTTGGCCAATGTGTAGGCTCACTTGTATTAATATATGTCAATCTATTGATTTCTATACTTTTTAAGAACGTTCTCCCCCTTGAGGTTACTGTTCTGCTGCCCCAATTATTGTGTTTAGCATTAAGATCGCCTCCTGCTAAGAATCTAGAGCCTAAACTTTTAAAGAAGTAGTCGAATTCTTCTTTTTGTATACTGTGGCTAGGAGGGTAGTAAATTGCTGATATGTTAAGCGGGCAGTGTCAGTCATATATCTTAATATTAGTTGCCTGGATATGGTTTTGTTTGTATGGCGCAAGCTCATAATGTTTAATGTTATCTTTGATGATAATCGCTGTACTCCTACGTGCCCTTCCACTGGGATGATGCATGCAATACACCTTATACCTATATATTTTAAAATATGTTTTATCGGTAAAATGAGTCTCAGATACCAGCATTATTTGAATGTCTTGATTTTTTAAGAAAGCTTCCAACTCAACTTTTCGTTGCATCAGACCGTTGGCATTCCAAAGAACAATACGTAAAGTCATCATTAATTTTTGGTGGCAGTCAATTTATTTACAATAGTCGTTAATAGAGAAAGAAGATTATTTATTTCTTCCGTTTGCTTTTCGATTAGTTTTTCTAACTTACTTATATTTTCACAATTGCACGATTTATTGTTATTATTTTCTATAATAGGAAAAGTTGGACTAAGATTATTTGGTGAATGATTGCTTCTTGTAACTGCTTGTGCATAAGAAAAGGATGGATCAGTAAAACGTTGGTTATCTCCCATTGGGTTGGTCTTTGAGTTTAATTGTATATTTGGATTTTTTCTGTGACTAGGTTTCGGAAATATATTTTCAATATAAAGAATTGAGCAATTCTTTATAATGAGGGCACTCTTTGTAGTTTACGGTATGGTGGCCGCCGCATAAGTGACAAGTTGGAGGAGTTTTAGTGGATTTTTTTCATTGTATAGTTGGATGAGAACCTGCACATTTTACACACTTATATTGGCGATTACAGTACTTCTGGGTATGGCCGTATCTTTGGTATCTTTTGCATTGAACTATTTCTTTCTTTTTTATGGGTGGTTCAATTTTAATTATAGTATTATTCAGTTGACTTATGTTATATATGTTATATATAGGTTTATTGTTTGGGTTTTGTTTAAGGTCAATATAGAACATTGACAGTGGCTTGTGTGTATCTTTGTGTCGAATGTTACTAATATTATTTACCTCATGCCCGAGCTCTTGTAATTCGTCCTTTAGATTATCCAAATCAACAGAGTGATGTACATTCTAGAACAACACAGATAGAACAACACAGAACGACCGTTCTTGTTTCAGTTAGAAAGTGTGAAAACTTGCGTTAGATGATTTTATTAATTTAGCAATTTTTCTATATGTATCTGCATCAGTTGGTAGGATACGAACTTGATTATTATTAATTTTAAATTTATAGCTCTCTTTTTTAACGACTTCATCCAAGCATCTCGTTCGTTAATGATCGTATGTCGATTACGTCATCTACATAAATTGGAGGGGGCGGAGGTACTTTTGACAAGGTTCGATTTTCTATCATATCTATATCCGTGATTGAATTTAAGATTGAGAATCTGTTAGTGGTTGGAAGTGCAGCTTCAGGTTCTGGTTGCCCTTCATCACTGCCATCGTCTTCTCTTGGTCGTTTTTTGTTATTAGGATTTGTTGCATGTCTTGAAGAGGTAACTATTTGCCATGGCGGAAATAGATTTGATGATGACATATCCTAGTCAAGAATATGCGGAGATCTCGTCTCAATTAGCCGACTCGATTTTGAAAGATATTCACTGTAACGGCTTGCTATGTATTTTTCCCGATATCCTCTATGTAAACATAATACTCACGGAACTCAGTTTCGTACGTCTGTATACTCAGAAAGCTAGAACGCGACTCCCCCGTGTCATTTAGCTCGATGAAACTCGGCCCCAAGCGGTAGGAGTCAACGTGCGGTAAATAGATAAGACTGATGCTCAAGAACAGTCGCAATACGAGTCGAAATGTAAATACCTGTGATACCTGTGATATAGTCAGTTTTACGCGTTACTGCTGTTGAGAAAGTAAACTCTAATCCTTTTACTTTTATAGATATTATGAATTTATTATAAATTGTAATAGATAATAGTTTCAAAAATATATTGTATGAATAAACAATACTTCAATGGAAATTGAAGCGTCTTCAAAGTAATTTCGTCTCAAGGAATGTAATAATACTACGCCTAAAAATAAATATAGAATACTATAAACAAAAAATCTAATCATAAAAAATGTTCATCTCAAATGAATATCTAATAAGAAAATACGTATAACTCTAAAAATTCTCCATGGTATGATACTTCTTAAAACATTCTGGTAGATGTAAGGCTATTTTACATTTCGCACATTCTCACTTCTTTTCACTTTGTATTTTATGTTTATATCGAACTTTACACGTTCTTGTCGGATGTTTATTTCGAGGCGTCGGATCGATATTTTTTAGGAAATGAGCCCAATATTGAGCTTGGAGTCGAAAAGTTTCAACTGATGTAGATTTCCCATGCATTTTGTAGTCCGGTAATTTGACAATTTGTAAAATTGCCTCTGCTATATTTATACGGTAATCTACATAAGTCTCCCTTTTTCGACTGTGAATTGCTTTATGTATAATATAGGTGTTGAATAGAGCCATATATGACATGTAAAAGAAAAGTTTTCGGTATCCTTTGATGACTTTTTTCATGATTGGGAAACAGGCTAATATCTGATCTTGATAATCAACTGCACCCATACCTTTGTTATATTCCAGGATACTTTTAGGTTTTATTATTTTCTGTAATTCTTTGTTCAATTGTTCAACCATTTCTACAGTTTCGTGTTTCATTGATATTATATACACGTCGCGCTTGTCTTTCCATCTTAAACCTATCAAATTATTCCAACTTCTCCATATACATTCTCCTTTCTTCAAAATATGCTTTTGAATGGCGTTTGGCATATTTTTCTTGTTTTTGCGTACTGTCCAGATAATGTTTGTCTTTTTTTGGTATAATTTTAATAAGAGGTTGGGTGAAGAGTATCAGTTGTCCAAAAACAAAGTATATTCCTTATTTATTATAGATTTTGACAGGTTTATCACAACGTTCTCTGATGCACTATCATTTCGATCATTTTGTCCTGGCCGGTATATATTTTGAATCCGTGACAGAAACCGGTACTTACCTCGCACAGTTTGTAAATTTTTAATCCAAATCGAGCTCTTTTCGACAGATTGAATTGTTTATACGCTAAACGCCCTTTATATTTCATTAGAGATCCGTTTATACTGACATATTCATTGGGTGTGTAAATTTCTTTAAATTTTTCATTCCAAAAGTTGATCATAGGTCTTATCTTGAGAAATCGGTCATTACTATCAGCAGTTTCATTATCAGAGAAATGAAAAAATCTCGAAATTTGCCGAAATCTTTTAGAAGGCATCGTTTGTCAAAATATTGGCGTTTCTACTACAGCTCTTTTAGTCCAATACAGAATATTTGATTTTTTCACTTGACTCATCAAAATACACAGTGCATAATAGGCTTTTATTTCGTTTAAGGTAACAAGATACCAAGTGTCGTCTATATGTTATCTTTTACGCTCGTCCTGAATTGTCTGATGTGTGAAGCGATTTGTTTCCGTAACCAATATTTCCCAAAATTTGTTTCCAAATATAATAAAAAATAGTTCTAATATTCTTTGATTCTCTCTTAAATTATTTAAAATAGATACTTTTATTCCATGATATTCAGAATACTTCCAAACTATTGGTGTGTTTTTTATTTCCTGCCAAATTCATGATTGTTGGATTTGTGTCTAACCATGAGGTTGTGTTATACCTTTCATTTCACTACTTTCATCTATAATCAGACACCTTACATGTTGTGTAATTAGCTGAAACACGTCATTACCATTGGATTCGTTATCATCGCTTTCATTTAATACTTTTGTATTTTGTATTTTATAGGGATTTCTTAAATTTCAATAACTAAACTGCTTTGTAACAGCCATTATAAGAATTGTGATTAACTGTTATAGGGTACTGACAAGAATTAACATTCAATTACGATCGTAACTGACAAAAAATCATTCTGCGAGTTTGGCTTGTTATGTTTACGTTTGGCCTAACTATCTGTTCGCAAGCTTGACTTCTGATGTTTATGTTTGACCCGACATCTGTTCACGAGCCTGGCTCGTGATATTCATGTTTGGCCCGACTATCTATTCGCGAGTCTGACTCGTGATATTCATGTCTGGGCTAAAATCTTTATCACGAGTCAGTCTCGTTAAAGTACGGGAAGGGGTTAAACCATTTTCATCGCTATCACTATCTATGAGATTCCTTCGTTTTCTTGTTGGTTGGATGATATTATTATCATTACTATCGTTTTCTTCCGCATGAATATTTATTTTTTTTAATCTATCTATATAAATGTCTATTTGGAACTCATCTTCACTACTGCTTATATCATGAGACTTACTGGTATTTGGTCGTTTCAGCATTGTTATAATAAAAAAAAGAATAAAAAATGGATTGAAAATCATTAATGGTAAATTACGGAATTGCAAAATTGGCTATTACTGCAGGAATCTCTATTATTTAACGCTTTAATATGAACCGAGTTATTGAAATTTTTTTCCACAATTTTAAGATTGCTTGATTATTTTATCAAGTTTCACTATATCATACTTGCCATACTCGCGTACCTTTCTTTTATAAATTCTTTTTATTGGTCCTTTTTACACATTGACTGTCGCGTGAATTGCTATACCATACGCACTTCTAAAATTGAAACTTACTCGATGCAGGTGTGTAAACATATTGGGCCTATTGTTTCTTATCATAATTTCAGAAGGTTATCACATTTAGAACGAAATGCCTAAGGATTTCCATTGAGTTGAAAATCAATATTGGAAAATCGTACTGGACCCATTGTTTCTTATCGTAGCAGAAGGAAAGCATGCTTAGAACGAAAGCGTATATACGAAAAGCGTATAGACCGTCGTGAAAGCATATCGTACGTTCTCTTCCAAGTAAAACTGACTGATATATTTTTTATATATCTTGGTAATTGTATCATATTTTGATTTGCTTTCTTGTGCCATTTCAATAGAAAACAAGGAAACATACGTTTCTCAAAAAGTTGCGGTAAAATAAGTTCATTCTCCGTAATCACTAATAAACGTTGATGTCCCCTCAGAGGGGACATTTAAGTAATATACTAGACTTACATTGTTCCCTCAGAAGGGAAAAATGAGTGCAAAGGATTAGAATATTAGGTTCCGAACCGTGTCGACCGAATTCTGTTTCTTATTTTAGATCTTTCGAGGATATGGCTACTGATGGTACTCCTGTTTCGTGATTTAATTTTATAATTCGGACGTTGAAAGTTCTAGGCCCTTATTGTCATAGACTTCTTGAACGCTTCTATATTCTTTCTGTATTTGATCTTTCTGAAATTGCTTCTCTCTTCGGAGAGGATGTCGCGTTTCCCGATTTCGCGTTTATGTCTGCTATTGTCCTTTTCTAAACTCATCGATATTTTGACGATTCGAATTCAATTGTAGAAATACGATATACTCAAAGACGTATCCGTCGTATTTCAAGGAATGACAGCGAAGATGAAAAACGTGCTTGTTTTGTAAATAGAGATTTTGTATGGAAACAACAAAATCGTATGCCAAATGTACATAATTTTTCAATCGTGAGCGGTATGATTGCAAATATATAAGATTTATTGTCTAGAAGGGAAATCTTTGAATTATTTTTTAATGAAGAACTAGTTAAAAAAATAATCTCAGAGATAAATAAATATGGAACAACGAACAGAAATTTTGTACCAGTTACAGACGATGAATTAACAATATTTATTGCTTTAAATATTTTGATGAGTTTAATTCCTAGGCACTATTCAGAGTTATTGGATCAAAGATCAAAGCATAAAAACACCATATTTTAACCACTTGCGAAAGAAATTCACGGTTGCGCGTGCCAGAACAGTAGAGTACAGATCACTTCGGGGCGCGTTCAGGTAGCGTTTGGGGGATTCCAGAAGAGAATACAAAGACGTACAAATGATGATAAAATTACATATGTATGAATATTAAATTTATTTATTAATAATCTTGTAAAGTGTGATGTTTTTCAAAACAGCTTAGAATGCGTAACGTTACAAGACATTTTTTACACTCCTACGTAGTTTCACTCCGATTTTTATGTTTAGCGCACACTACACATCTCCGTTGTGGATTTTTTTTTTGGCGTTTGTAGGCCGTATATTTCTTGGGAAATATCCTCATTGCTTCGCTTGTAAGCGATTCGGAACGTTTCCAGCAGATATCTTTCTACGTTTTTGGTAATCAGGAAGACATACAATTTCTAAAATTTGTTCGGCTACATCAATTCGAAACTTCGAAAAAGAATATTTTTTACATTTTGGTGTTTCCATTTTTTTGCAATATAAAATATAAGAATTGAGTAGTGCCATATCCGCTATGTAAAAAAATATTTTTTTATAACTTTTAACATATTCTCTCATTAATTTAAAAGACGATAAATAACTGTTTTGCAGATCCACTCCACCCATACCCTCATTGTATTCCAAAACGATGTTGGGCTTTGTTATAGGGCTACTATTATTTTTCCACGTCTTTTTTTCCACTTCAACCATCTCAATTTTTGTATGTTTCGTAGATATTACATATATGTCTTTTTTGTCTTTCCATTTTTGTCTTTCCAAAAATTCCATTACACGAGTGCGATATCACGTCAGATTGTTTTAGTTTTGCAGCTGCGAGTTGTTTACGCATATTCTTCCTATTGCATCTTACTGTTCCTATGGCGTTAATTTTTATAGATTGTAGTTTTTGAAATAGGCTTGCCGAAGAATACCAATTGTCCAAAAATAGAGTATGCCCGTAACCAGCTAGTACTGTGAACATAAACATTGTCACATTTTCAGATGCACTTACATTCGTATTTCTGTCTAAATCTTGACCAGTGTAGATTTTGAATTGAATGCAATAGCCCGACTTGGATTCACATAATTTATAAAATTTCACTCCAAAGCGCGCTTTTTTGGACGGATTATACTGTTTGTACGACATCCGACCCGTGTACTTCATTAGCGATTCATCTAATGAAATGTATTCCGCGGGAGTGTAAATATTTTGAAATTTCTCATTGAAATGATCAATTACACTTCGCATTTTACATAAACGATTGTCATTATTTTTTGCAACTTCGTTGTCAGTAAAATGCAAAAAGCGTGAAATTTAGTCAAATCTCCAATACGGCATTATTTTTCGAAATATTGGTGTCTCGATTGCGCTTATTTTTTGACTAATATGACTGCACAGTTGGTTTTTTGATTTGCGACATCAAAATGCACAAAGCAAAATAAGCATGTACTTCATCTATATCGATGTCCCACCAAATGTCTTCAAACTTTCGTAATCTACAGTTTTCATTTTGGTGTCTTTGACTAGTGTAACAATTGGTTTCTATCACAATAATTTTCCAATAGTTTTCTAATACTCCACTTGTCATTTGCAAAGCTGTGACATTTTGCCCAACTAGAATATTTATTCTAGATATTCTCGAATATCTCCATACTTTAGTTATATTTTCTGTATCTTTCCATATCCACTTCTGGGATGAAACATTTCTTTCCCTATTCTCATTCTGAACTTCTTCCTTGCCGTTAGATATAATTCTACGCCGATTCCGAAGTGTAAAAACAATTTCTTCTAAATCGCTGTTAGATTCTACATTGTCTTGTCTTCTCCTTTTATTTGTGCAAATAATATCACTGGCTTCACTATCACTTTCCATTTTACAGCCTGGGGTCAATATTGATAACTTACTGATGAAGTGCAAGCAGAAACTGTGCCTCGATAAAGCATTTCATTAACAGTTAACGTGCCACGCACGTCATTTTTCTTTCTGCAAAAATTGCCTGACAACGTGTGTAACACGTCGCTGGCGTTCTGATAATAGAAGCATCTTAACGTGCGTGGCACCTCTTTCCATCGCAAGTGATTAAACGATTTACATCGAGAAGATTGTTTGGTTATTGATTTGGATATCGAAGATAACACGATAATCGATTGCCGAGTGATCATAGATAAGACTAAAGTCCGAGGAAAAGTCCAAATCGTCAAATAGAATAGATTTTGTAAAATACGAGAACGGATTATATGGTGGAAGAAGAACTTATTCCATTAAAATATGTTTTGAATTTGTTGCATACACCAAATATATTAAACACCAACGTAAACGTAAATACATTTGAGCAAACAAGTCCTACGATAAAGGTTTTAGTTATCACAGGTAAAATCATTGATCAGGCGAAAGGAACTGATGAACAAATTGGTCATCAAAGTACGAACGAAGAACAAGACGATGAAATTGACAGTAACGTACTTGAATTATCAAAAGAAATATCTACGAACGAAAAACCACAAATGGAATCGGACAATCTACATCTTTATGTATTTATGTGCAGAAAAATATAAGAATCAAAGAAGAGGAAACAGCAACAAATAAAAAATTACAAGAAGAAGAGAAAAGCTTACGACAGGAAGCAAACTAGTTTTCGTCTGTACCGAGAAAAACATAATATTGAATAAAACATAATATTTCACTTTTAATAAATTTTGTTTCTGTAGTTTCAGATATCTAAGTAATATATTGACAAATTCTAAAGTATATAAGCTATATTTAAAAAAACTTAATAATATAAATATTTCAAAAGTTATTTTCTCTCTCCCTCCTTCCTCTTTCCCAAATTTGATTTTTATCAAAGAATGCAACAATTTGCACAATAATAGATTTGAATACATTTCAACATAATTTCATTGCAACTCTTTCTCCTATATAAGAAAGTGTATGAATATAAACAAAAATAAAAAATGCCTGCAAAATTTAAATTTTGTTATAATTCAAAAGAATAAAGAAGAAAATATCCTTTATCTCTATTAGAAATATATAAAATCTACATATGCAACATCCATACGTGGCAACATAAATGTTGGAATATTTATGTCAATAGATTTATGATATTGCCAACAGATCGAAAGTATTGAAATATTTAACATTACGACGATTAGGGTGCTTTATAAATAAAAAATATATTGAATGTAGTGATATAATATGTAATGATGGATTTACACACAGGCGATAGAAACGATCACATCAGGTCCCGTAACATAGATCCCTCACACAACTAAGTAAATTTATGTTACATAGTAAATTTAATGTAATATTTGTTGATCGATAAATAAATTTTATATCTATGTTTGTTAATATAATCCAATTCGATCAGAATATTTTTTGTTACGTCATTCATATAAACAATTGAAAGAAGAAAATTGTATTGTGTAAAATTGATTTACTTTAATACCTTTGATGTATCAAGCAAGCAGCTTAAAGGTTAAATTCGCCTACAAGAGTATATATCTTTTATCAATATTTTCATATTTACTGATAAAGAAATCAATAACAAAAATGTATAATACTCCAAAATTTTTTTCATTGAAAATGCCGTCCATCACTATCTTTTGTTACCTCATTATTTTGTTTAATTACTTTAAGTCACTTGTTACACATTTATCTTGAATATAAAAAATGTACTTGTTTTGAATATTCTCCAACCAACTTTATAAATATTTGATAGAATCTTTTGATTTTTGTATTCCTTCTTAATCCTAGTTGTGCACATCTCAAAATAATTTAAAGTTGTGTACTTGGGGTGCGCTACACCACAGGTACTTTGAAAGCTTTTATACAGAACAGTCATTTATACAGAATGAATAATTTTGACTTCAAAAAAATACTGTTCATTCTTTGAAACAATTTTCTTTTATTAATCGTGGCATAAAAGGAAGGTAACCTCTATATCTTTTGCTAAATTGCAGATTGATAAGTTTGTCATCTCCTGATTCAAATTTCAAAGATAGATATACGATGATTTTTTGAATGAATTAGCAAATCGATTTCTTTTTACTTTCGTTTAGCGCGTTAAATTCTGATTTCAATATAAGAAGATTTCAATACAAAAAAGTTGACTAGATACAATTCCTTGTAAAAAGAAACGCGTTATGATCCTTGCAACGGAGACGAAGTAATTTTCTTCATTTCTTTCTTTCCTTCTCTTTCATATTTCTCTTATTGTCTTTCTTCTTCTTCGCTCGTTCTTTTGTTCGCTCTTTGAATGATTCTTTCGTCCTTCCCTATAATACAGTCAACTTCAAGGGTGCACAGACCGAGGTAGCCATTTATCCGTTACCCTGAGAGTAACCAAGGAGGGAAAATCTAAGAAAACTCTATGCCCCGTCATCCTAGCAAATTTTTAGAGAAACAAATTCTTTTAGAAATCTGGTTTCATAGAAATACTTTTCTTCGTGTCTTTCATTAATATTGTCTATCTCTCTCTGTCTCTCTTTTTTATCTCTTTCTTTTAACTTCTACTTTTTATTAGATAAAAAATAGAAGCAAAAAATTCATACGAATGATTTATCATAGTAAATTTTATTATCATAATGATTTGAGGGTTTGATAAACAATTGGAAGATCAAAATCATCAAGGAACTTTTTATACAAACTGATTTCTTTAAAAACTTTGTAATTACTTTATATGAAATAATTAAAAAAACGAACAAACAAACAAACCGAGGTAAAAAAATGTATACGAAAGATAATAGCAAATTTTATTGGTTACAATGTATTCTTGATAATATTGGATAGAGAAAGAGTAATGCGAGATCAAATAATTATGAAGAACATTTTATAGAAAAAGATTTTATGTAATAAAATGAAAAATTTATATGAAATAAAAATAATTTGAGATAAAAAATTAACTAATTAAAATGTCCTCTCGATCCAAAGGGACAGAGTAATGTATAAGAGACGTGAATTATTCGAAAAATAGAAGTATATAAATAATAACAATATATATCCTTGGGATATTTACTACAATTGGAATATATCCAGTAAGCCAAGTCATAAAGTAATCGAACGAATACAATTTGTCATGACGTATCGTACAAATTTCTAGCGAAAACATGTTCATCGTTAATGCGTGACTTCGACATTAAAGTTGGGTGAAATAAAAGTTTGATTCATAAAAATTGATGATTTTTTCTTTCTCGATTTTGGAAGATCTTGGAGTTATAGCAATAAATTATAATGGGGTAATAGATATTGTGAAACTGTGAGCTATTAGTGTTGATTTGTTTGAGATCATGAGTGATTTTCCCATTTTATATTTATTATCGATTCGTTTCTAAAATCGGGATGTTTATTATTACCATATGTAGAAATCACGATAGTCAACTTAATCATTAAGGATTTTATGTTATGACTATTATATTAAATACAAAAGAACGTTTAACATACACAGAAATATTTTATGCTTATTCTTATGTACTTTTCTTTTTTTTTTTGTATATATTGTGTTGTGTGTGTGTTTGTTTTATTGTTTATAAAGTATATTTATAACATATTAATATATAATACTATGTGTATTTTATATATTTTCAAAAAAATATTTGAATGTAAATATTAGGGGGACCGGAAAGTAATGTCGCTTTCTTAAATTAAATTCAAACGAATAAATTTTTAACAATTTTTAACAATCAAATATCGACATGCGCAGAAACGACATTACTTTCAGGTCAACATAATACATAAATATATAAATACTACATATATTATCGTATTATATTTATAATTTATTATACTACTATAATTTATTATATATTACTAAAATACTACATTAACACATACTATATATATCTTATTCCGTAGATTTATAACGAATTAGACTATAAATACATTTAATTATTTTTATATACCTATACATATATCTTCAAAAATCTGCATATATACATGTTCTTTTCTTGACAGTGGATACTCTCTTTTTTTATTTGTGCTACATATATATATTTAACAAATAAATATTTAGTTTAGAGGATAAAGATAATATTGAATACGTTGAGTTTCGGATGGAAGTCAGCTGTACATTGAAACAAGACAACTGGATTCAATGTGTGAAATTTGATAAAAGGTTTTACGAAAAATGTTTAACATTTTTGGTTTTATGTGA